CCAGTGTCGTCCCTCTCCCTCAGGATGTGGCAGTGTGGGCTCTACCTCTGGGTCAACTACACAGGCATAAGAGACTGTTTGGTCTGTTAGGAAGACCCATGGCTACACGGTCACTACCTTCTCTGGGCTTCTGCTGCCCCATCTGTCCAATGGAGACTTGGCAATGCTTGGGACAGTCATATCCTTTGGTGCCTGGCCAGGAGGACAGGTCAGTCAACCGCCATGTTACTGAGCATAGCCAAGCGGCCCTCACGGGAGACCAACCAATGACACCAAGGCACAGCTGGATGTTACAAAGCCTTCAGCTCCCCAGTCACCTAGTGCTGCCAGGTATTGAACATAGCATTCGGTGAAGCAGCTGCTCTGACATCTAGAGGCCTGATGAAAGCAAGGCCAAGGCATCAGTGTGGTTTTCCAAGGGGCTTAAGATTTTCCAGGGAGACTCTTGAGGACCATCATTGAGGGGGGTGATGTGATAGAAAAAGCCTTTTTTAAAAATAAATCTCTAATCTCTCTTCCCCTCCCTAAAGTATAGAACCAACTGACAAACAGGGGCTTTCCCTTTGCTGAAGTCTGTGTAAGGACGGGTATGGGGATGCTAGTCTGGAAGAGCCTGACAGAGCCGAATTCCCTTGCATCAGAAAAAGGAGCCCAGAAAAGAAAGGTGGGAGGGTTGGATCTAGAGAGAGGAGCCATGGAGGAGTATGGAGAGGGACGGGTCTGAGGTGAGTTGCCTTTTGAATGAGAGGCGTGGAGAGAGGTACTATAATGAAGGGCCCTGGGGAAGAAACTCAGCCCTTCTGTGCCTCAGTTTCTACATCTGCAAGGTGGGGATCACAGAGCCTTCTTCCTAAAGGAAAACACTTAGAATCGTACCCGGCGTGTAATAAGGACCAGAAAGGTGTGTGTAGTGGTGATGGTGGTGGTAATGATATAAAAACTTTTGAAATCTTCAGTAGAATTTCTATCACTTAGAGGTGGACCAAGCAAATGGCTTTCCTGGGAACTGGCTAAGTGTCAAGTCCCGTGTTGGCTGCCTGGCTACGTCTAATGATACTTATGCAGCCAAGACTATTAACAGCAGGAAGGGCCAGCACTGGAGCTCTGTTGAGTCACCAGGGACTCCCCCAGAGCCTGCAGCCCTGGAAGCCAGGGCCCTGTCAGGCCCAGCGGGTACAAGGCCCTCCATGTGGCTAAACCATCCAAAAATTGCCGTGGGCTGAACTTTGTCACCAGCCTGCTTCTCACGAGGACACTTCCTCTAGCCAGGAGGCACGGACTTTCCAGCTGGGCTGGGCCCTCTGGCAAGCTGTACTCGGGGGATATTTTCAGATTCTGGGTGACATTCCCCTGCCCCTCCGCCTAATAGTTCCCAGATGCTTGCCTCCTCAGGCCTCAGCCTCCCTCCCGCTGTTCTGCAGCTCTGTGTACAGGCAGGCCTGCAGGGCTGCCTGGGGCTCACCTTACCCGGTCACTACACCTTTTGACTTTTTTTTTTTTTTTAATTTAAGACATTTTGTGCCTCCTTAATGTGACAGCTTGACAGCGGCCAGCATAAAAGAGGCTGTTTCCTCCTGGTTGGGGACCAGGACAGCGAAGCTGGCAGATGAAGGTGGAGAGAAGGAAGCCGGCTTTGGGAACGTGGGGAGCAAGGAGAAACACAAGGAATCTTTATTGGCCAAGCATAAAAGAAGCAATGGGGATAGCAGCTGTGTTAACGCGGCCAGGTCGCCAGGGGCTGGGCAGACACACCAGGCTCAGCTGGGAATCCCACAGGCCCCAGGGGTTTCATGACTCATGTTTTGCAAAAATGCCTTCTAGTTCACTATCTTTCTGCTGCTGCTTTTCTCTACCTTCCCTCCCCACCCACCCTCCTGCCCCATGTTTTGTAATTCTTGGCCGTTATCAGTAATGAGATAGGACTATTGCTGAGGCCTGTGGGAGGGAGGAAAACGAGTGGACACAACTAGGAGAAAAGAAGAGGAAAGGAAAGGAAAGAGAAAGTTAAAGAAAAAAAAGAAAAGAAAAAAGAGAGGGGCGTGGAGGGAGGGTGGGGCTGGAGCACAGAGGTGGGCGGTAAGGAAGAGGTAGTAGGCGGCAGACCCAGGAGGGCAGAACGGCCTGACTCACAGCTTAACAGAAACCAAGACAGGCCGATAGACATCAGGCAGGGAACTGAATGAGAAACCTCCCTCCCTTCTGCTTCTTGCTTGTTTTCCACTGCGTTTCATGAAAGCGTGGAGAGGACAACAAGTGTGCTAATAATCACAATCTCTCTGGGTTCTGTATCACTTTGACCTTTTGCAATGTGATCTGATGCCCACCAACCTGTGTTTCACAAAGCAACTGTGTGCACGAGTTGGGGAGCACCCCGAGGGGCCCATTTTGTGGGGTGGGAAGCTGAGGCGTGGAAGGGACTGTTCGGGAAGTTAGGGCCCCAGCAGGGCTGCGCCTGGGGCCCAGACCTCTGGATTTCTCATCCAATAATGAAAATTTGGAGATGAAATAAAGGGAGAAGAGATTATATTGGTGAAAGTGGGCCAGGAAAATACAAACTTCGAAGACCAGATGGAAACCCCTCAGCCGAAGAATTCTTGGACGCTGCTTCTAAGGCATGCTTGCATCAGTGACACTGACCCTGGCATTTTCTCTCTTTCTTTCAGGACCTCCTGTAAGTAACTCCAGCCACAGCCTGGTCTCGCACATCTGAAAGGCCTTGCTCTCTGCTGGTAACCGGGCCCCGGGAGGGAGCACCAACAGCTGGCCCTGCTATCTTTAAGGGGAGCCCCTATACCCTCCAGAGAAGTCGGCAGGGCCCCTCCAGGATGTTGACATGGGGAAGAGGACCGCCATTTTGCTTTCCACCCACCTCTGCACCCCTCCACGGCCAGACAATGGCTGCCCCCACAAAGCAGGTCCCAATTTCAATCTGAAAGGCTGGCACGCCCCATTGTTAGTCCAGCTTCTTTGTCCCCTAAAGAACTGGAGTCAAAGAAGCACCAGGTATTAGAAAGAAGAAAAGAGATAATCTCTACTCCATTTTGGTCCTTGAAAGGTCTTCTGCCCATTCAGTAAACAGGTCAGTGAGCAGCTTTAACTGTGGATTGCTCCTGAGGACGTGATGTCCACACCACTGTGTGGGCAGCTCCGCTCCAGCTAAGTCACCTTGGGCAAGCTGTTGTTTTGTTATTATTGTTGTTGTTGAAGAGAGCATTGTCGATGCGTTGGATTGGGAGACAACACAAATTAAAGGCTGCACCTTAGGCTCCTCCCCCTGGCATCGCCCTAAGGCTCAGGGCGGGGCCGGGAGTCGAGTCCTTTGCACTGAGAACTTGAGAAGCGCCCAAGGAGACCGGCCCCCGAAGTAATGGATCCAGAGAACAGGAGCGTGTCTTCTTGAGGACAGCATTTGATATCCCAACAAAAGACCCAGAGGTCGCAGGGCCAGCTGGGGACTGGAGTTGAAAGGGCCCAGCCCTCGGCATCAGATCTTTCTCAAGGTTACGAAAAGAAGCCCCATTTCATTTCTTCCTCAGACAAGGCATTTCCATAGTGTTTTCCTCTTGATCGGTACCTGCGAGAGCAGCTGGCCCAGTTTGTAATAAGACATTATTTATTCTTCCATCTGTGTCCTGAGAGTTACATAGAACCTATGCTGACATGCTGACGATGCCGCCCAGCTCCCTGTCTGCTGAGTTATAGAGAAGGAGGAAAATCCTGTCATTCCCTGAAAGGGAAGGATGATTTATCATGGCATGTTTTGGATGTCAGATCTCAATTCCTGTCATCAATCTTCCAAAATAAACTCCGCCATAGGAAACTTCGACAGACCACCTGCTGAAAACGGGCTGCTTTTCTCCTTTCTTGACAAAGCCAAAAAGAGTGCTCACCTCCCCAACTCCTGGGACCTCCCCCATACACCTCTCCCCATAGCCAGGAGGCTGGGCTAACCCAGTAGCTCAGCCTGGGTCTCTGCCTGACTGGAGGGCCTGCCTTCCCCAGGAATGTAGCATTCTGATGGCTTCTGCTGGCCTCACCCCAGGGGCTGTTCCCAGCCAGATAGAGTGCTGCCACTCCTGGGGGCTCTGCAGTTCAGGAGCACATGAGGGGGTTGGCTCTGAGTCTGTCCTTCTGATCCCTGCAATCCCTGCCCACCTGGCCACCACCAGCAAGAGTGAGGGGAGGAGCCCAGGTAGCTTTCCAGCTTTCGCAGCTTGACTGACACAGAAGAATCCTGAATCCTGAAATCTCAAGGCAGGATGAGAAGGAACTGGGAAGCTGGCCAGGGTGGGAATCACCTCTTGGCCCTGTTCTCTCTGCTTCTGCAAAGGAAGGATGCCATTGGCCAGAGATGAGGGATAGGGAGATGGCAACTGGTAGCAATGGCCCGTCTGCCACCCTCTGGGTATATCTCAGGGGCCCTTCCTGGGGTGGCTCTGTACTCCATTTGGAAGACCCAGGTTCCTATGGGCACAAGGATGGCCAATGCCTAGAGAACATAGCCATGGAGGATGGCTTGAAGTAGCAGCAGGAATCATTTAAGTGGCAGGAAATCTGTGGCCACCACGGCTACACCCCTCATGCCCATGGCAGACATTGCTAATCAACTAGGAGGCTTTTTAACATAGTGCTTTGTTCAGTTGCTACCAATCCACTGGTGTCTGCACTCAAGCTGGCATCTGTTGGTCATGCCTGCACTAGATTTAAGAGAGAATTTCTTAATTATGGGAACTGTGAGACTGAAGCAGATGACCAAGGGAAGTAGGGATGTCTCTTTCTCTGGAGGAATACAGAGAAATATATGCTGTCCAGCTGCCAGCCCTGGTTGAATGCAATCCTTGAATATGATCAAGGTGCTCCCTTCATTTTATTGATAAAATAACAGAGGCTTATAGGCACAAGTGACTCTAAAGTCACATAGCTTGTTGGGCAGTATGGAACCATCAGGTATAGCAATACCCTTACCTTTGTAAATTTCATTACTTTTCCCTTTATTTCAGGGTCCCATTGGAAGACCTGGCCTCCCAGTAAGTAGCTTTCTTCCTTTGCATCTCTCTCACATGCTCTTTCTCAGTGTGAGGACTGGTGAGGTTGAGTGGCTGCTTTTCTCCAGATGTATCTGGGTGGGAGGACTCTCCCCAGCTTCTCTAACCCATAATTGAGGATAAACCTCCATGGTACCTTCCTGGGCCCCAAGCAGGCCGATAACAACAGCATGCAAGCCCCTCTAACATGGACATGACTTCCAGGTAGATGGCCTTGTAATGGGGGGCTGCAAGGGGAGGCAGCCCATGGGCTTACTGGGTATCCTGCTGCATACCAGCTTAGATTAAGACCATGTTCCTGCTTTGTCCTATGCCCTCTGGTATGAGTAGACCCAAACACTTTATTACCCTCTAGTTACCATTTCTGAATGCTAGCAAGCTGTGCCAACCATGGGGCTTTGGAATAAAAATAGAAATAATACAAGTAGCCATCTCTTATTGAGACCTCAATATGTGCCAGGCACTATGCTAATCACTCTTCATACATTTGATTTGTTCAACAGCTCAGTGAAAAGGGTATCATTATGCCCATTTTATAGATGAGGAAAATGAGACTCGGAGAGATAAAATACCTGTCCAATTGCCCCAGCTTCAGCTGTAGACCTCTTGGAGGCCCATATTATCATGTACGATTTCATACTGCTATTTCCTGTGGTCTGTGCCCCACATCTGAGAACCATCTTTAAAGTCTTCAAAGACATGGCTCTGTGGGTTGTAGCCTGGGGCACATATGCATTGAGTACTAGATACTATGGGCCCTCAGGTGGGGAGGGACTCAGGCAAAGTACTGTAGCCATCCAGAGGGCCGAGGTGAGGTGTGGAGGGTGATCCGGGGCTGGCACCAGGCTGCCCGCTCTGCCTGCACTGAAGGCCACATGCACTGGATTCCAGACCCTCTGTGCATCCCTCTTACCCCAGTTATTCCCCCTTTTGACATGAATTATATTGTAACCCCGTGACTAATCCAACAGCTTCTAGAATTCATGTCCAGCAGTGACTTTCTTAATGAAATGCATGTGGGGGAATGTTTAGCCTTGAAAATGGAAACTCTCCCAGTAAGTCCGAGCCCTGGAGCAGAGGAGGATGGGTGAATTGGTCCCATGAAACCCAAGGAGGAAAAAAAAATCAGATGACTGGGGGGAACGTGGGCAGACTTTGTTTTTTTCTGACAACGTCCACCTTTAAAAAGCATTTGGGGGCAATTCACAGAGCAGGGGCTGCTACACATAGTTTCCAATCTCTGGCCATTCCACGCCTGTCCCAAACCCGAGCATTTTATGGCCAGGACTGCAAAGAACATTAGTTTTAAAAAAGAAATGAAAAGAAACCAAAACACACATCCTGCAATATCATTCAAAAGCCCTAGAGTGAGTGAGCCATGGGGCTGTCACACCCGATATCCTATGGGCCCGGTGTCCTCAGCAGGAAGGGCCACGGATCCATAGGTCATGGTCCTGTTCATGTCTCCATGTGAAGGGACCAGGGAGTGACCCACAAAAAGATTTACTGATGCTGGCCCCTTGTTGTGAGATGCAAAATGTGTGAAATACAAATATGCTTATAAAATTCACTTGCCCACTGGGCTTACTACCTGTAGATGCCATTTACACAACACTTACCAGGTGCCAGGCACTGCGAGCAGGCTTTCCAGAAACATCCTCTCATGGCCGCCTCCCAGAAGCCCCATGAGAGACATATGGATGCTTATGGAGATTAAGGAAACAGGTCCACACTTACAACCAACGTGGCTACCCTGCCACATGACAAAGGCTGAGCATTTTACTAGAAGACAGCATTGGTCTTGACAAGGTACATGTCACAAGAGCCTAGTTTCAGAGCTGATAGCGACTCTCTGGTGCGTCCACGTACATCTTGGGATGCTAATTGTCCCTCAAGGCAATTTGCCTCAGTGGGGTCAGCAGACACAGTATCACCCTAGAAATGCCCACACCCTTCAGAGGAACCCACAGGTCCAGCTTTTGCCTGTCCAGGAGACACCATCTGATTTTCGGCCTCCATTGCTTTCCGTCCTTCCAGGCTCCTAGCAAACCCCAGGCCCCACCCCAGAATTTATGATGTCTACACATGTATAATTGCAAAAAAATATTTTCTACCAAAAGAGGGAGGAACGAAACTTAATAAGCAGATTTCCAGAGTGAGAAGATGTAACTCCTGGCTGCAAAACAAAGCAGTTCTCTCCGAGCAGCTGAAACTCGTGATGTGGCTGCATCCACATGGCTCGCGGTCCTTCCTCTTGGTGCTGGGGATGGCTGTGAGGAGGGGGCATGGAGAAGGCCTCTGTCCTCAGCCTTCTCAGACAGAGGGCCTAGGGAGAAGCTAGGTAGCATAGGCACTGCTCCCCAGCTCTGCCATCGACCGAGGGAAGCTATTCACCCATCTGTCACATGGGAACTACTACTAGCCCTGTGCTGTGCCTCGAAGCTGAACGTGACAAGGATGTGGCACATCCTGCCTGGCCGGAATGGGTTGCAAGAACAGAAGTCCAAGGGCCTTAGACCCCTTATGGAACACATAGGGAAACTGAGGCCCAGGCTAGGGACCAGACTCGTGCATTAGTGCTCTTTCCACACACACAGCACCATGCCTGAGTGTGGATGGCGATAGGGGTGGCTGCTTGCCGAACTGTCTGTAGGGGCTGCACGGGCAAGCTCACCCACGTGATGCCTGGATATCATCCCAATTGCCCATGAAAACCAGATCTTGGGTGCAGAGCTAGCCTGTGGGGGCCCTTCACATGCTGGCCCGGCTCCAGCCACATCTAACTGTCTCTGCCTCCTTCATTAGGGGGACAAAGGTGCCATTGGAATGCCTGGACGTGTGGTGAGTTGGTGCATTTCTACCTGCTCCATTGCTTGCTTCTCCATGCTGGCCTGTCCTCCAAACCGTGGGAAGGTGTGGCCTACCCCAGCCTGAGGAGGGAGGTCAGACCTCTCCCTTCCCCTTGCCCAAGTCAGCTTCAGAAAGGGACAGGCAAGGAAGGAAAAGGAAAGTTTTATTCCAACCCTGGCTTTACTCTCCAGAGAGCTGCCAGCAAAGGAAAAATCCAAGAAATTGTATGAATAAAGCTGTTCTCTGATCACCTACCGGGCGATAGGGTGAGGTCTGAACTCTTCTTGACTTTGAGAGGCCTCCCACCCCCTCCATCCCCGACCCCAGGCTGGCGGCTCACCCTTAGATTTATAGCGACTCCTGCAACCACCCCTCTCTTTCTCCTGCAAGAGCAGCAAAAGATGGTGAGAAATGAAACCTCCCAATGCTCTGTGGAAACTGTGGTGGAGCCAGGTCTGGAGGCCTCTTCCGCAGACAGACACCAGAACATGGTGAAGACGGCTTGCTCCTGACAGTGCCTCCAAATCCTCACCAGGAGACTGGGAGTTAAAACGTTTAATGTTCCTGCTGAAAAATGAAGATGGTGGAAGGGAAATGAGGACGTGTGGCAGGGAGATTGTGTATCTCTCAGGATGGGAAGGCTGACACTAGGCCTTGCGGTCCCAGCACCAGCGTTTTCCCTGGTGGCTTCTAGCCTCTGAGGGGCTAGAAGGGGCAGGGCCAGCATGTGCTGGCAGCCTAAGGCCTTGATGGCCACACACCGGCCTCATCACCACTCAGCCAGATCTAGGACATGGCCCGAGCCACTGTCCCTGTCAGGCCCCTAACTCCCCACCAGCCGTCAGCTTTAACCTCCACCGGGTGTCCTCTGACTAGTCTTAGACCATCCTTCCATGCCACTCGCATGCTGTGTCTCATAACAGATGCTCTGTCCTGGGCAGCTGGCCTTAGGCCTGGGTACAGCATCCTTATGAGAGTTTTCTTGCCTGATGTGAGCCTGGTGCTCAGAGAAAAGACACCCAGACCAAAACACTTAAGAGTGCTAATCACGTGCCGCCATTGTGCTGAGAGCCTTACATATATCAGCTCGTTCGGTTCTCACATTGCAGGAGGTAGGCACAGTCTCCACCCCCATTTTTCAGATCGGAATACTGAGGCTTGGATGTTAAGTGTCTTCCCCAAGGTCAAATGGCCAGCAAGTGGCTGATCAGAGACTTTAATCTCAGCAGCCTGATTCTAGACCTGTGCTCTTGACCTTGATAATGCTACTCTCCCTCCCCAACATTGGCATCACAGTTCTAAGGAGGGTCTGATCCCTGGAGTGAAGCCATAGTGCCTAGGCCTAGGACCTGGGACATTTCAGAGATTCGGGATAAGTGTTCCATGGCACAGAACTTTGAGCTTCCCGGGACCCATGTCTGTCAAGACATGGAAGCTGGGAGTCCTGGGCCACTCCATGTGAGTCCCTCCTACCACTTAGCTGACCACACACTGTGGAATTCCTACCTGACCCTGTCTCTCGGCTTCAGTTCTCTGACTCCAAATACTGAGTCCTCCAAGCTGTCACTGGGTCCTTCCCTGTGTAGAGCCAGGAAACAACATGCAGCCAGCCTTTGTCAGGGACTTGCCGTGGGTGGATTGGGGCCAAGCACATTCTCCACCATAGTCCTCCAAGATCCCATTTTATTGATGGGCATGTTGCGACTCATCTACCTGGGATTGGGCTGGAGTTGAGTTTTGTACCTAAGCTGTCAGACTCCAAACTCTTTGCTCCTAACAGGTAAGCTTTAGGAGCCTACCAAGTGCAGATACCAGGATGCAGGGAAGATTGCAAAATGCAAAGCAACCCCTCTAAGCCTGCCCCTCCTGCCCTGTGCACATCTCCTGGGAAGTGTGCATCTGAGCCTAGTTCTGGCCCATAGTGGTAGGGGCAGGACGGAGATCCACAGGAGGTTTCCCCATTTCCCTCCATACAAAGCTATTTTCAAGCCACTTTGGGGCTTTCGTGATGCTTGTGCCATTTTAAATGTGACAGTGGACCCATTTGGCTGCCCAGTAGGAGTTCTGGCATGAGCCACCTGATAAGGTCTGGGGAGGCCAGTTGTTGTGAAATGCCTGAGTTGTTCCCACTGTCCACCAGAGGTGGCGCCACTGGCATCTATGGATTGGGATGGACTGGGCTTGTCTACCCACTAGCCACTATGGTTATAGGAACCCTTGGTGATTACCGTTTCATCTACATCCTAGAACCATCCTCCATCCTCCCAAATGTGTGTGTCCTACTGTCTGTCCTCCTATGTTCCTCCAACCCCTCTCCCACTGTCTTGCCTGGCCAGCCCTAACAACTCTTGGTGTGTCTAGCTTGGTAAAGCTTTGTGCTTGGAGCTCAGTTGGACCTTCAAATCAAATAGACTCCACCGACTCTACCTCACAACACAGTTCTTGGGAAAGTCTCTTCAGGCCCATGCCCACCTCAGATGACCAGCCAGCTGGGGCCATGGCTTCTCAGACAGATTTTTTTACCTGGGTGGGTTCTCTCTCTCTCTCTCTCTCTCTCTCTCTCTCTCTCTCTCTCTCTCTCTCTCTCTC